CAGCTCTTACAGAGCCTCTATTGTAAGGCAACTCCTGTATAGTTACTGAATAAATTAAGGTTGTTTGTTTGAAAACCTTAGGCTGGTCTTTTCTCACCTTATAAAGTAACTCTGAACTTGGTTCTCGTTTAAATTCCTCTGTCTGGATTTGAATATCTCTATGATCTGCTTTAATAAGGTTTTCTAAGGTGTGTACACTGGTGCTCATATCAACCAACGTTTTTAGAGATAAACCAAGAGTTACCAAGCCTTCAACAAAGATTATCAAAATGATAAGAAACAGTATGTCAATTTCAGTTATGTTGATTATCCCTTCATTTAATTGTTCCATTTTTAAATCATGCATTGCAGGATCATACAGACACCTAACTATCTTCATTGTAATAGTGTCCATTTTTTTAATGTGAGAAAAACTCACTCTTTTAACTAATTCCTCCTTTTAAGAATTCCCAATTTTATTACTAAATCTGCAGACAATGTTATGAACTATGGGGCATAGCACATCTGATCTGAGAACTAGCATGCAGCTCTGAGCTGAGAGTGGCAGCCTGAGGAGAAGTACTGTAGGGAAAGCCTGAAACCCACATTGGGAGGGGGAGAGAGGGAGAGAGAGAGAGAGAGAGAGAGAGAGAGAGAGAGTGGGTTTTCATCCCTGTGTCCGTGGTGCCTTAGAGAGAGAGAGAGAGAGAGAGAGAGAGAGAGAGAGCGAGCTGACTGAAACAATGCACGCAGTACACACAGGATTGTTAGGAAGAAACGTTTGGGGATGAGAATGGACTGTACACAACGTCACGTGGTCTAGGGCACATTAGTCCTGCTTCTGGAGTTTTGGTGTCATCTGAAGTTTTTTTAGGGGAGGCTACAACAGAAAAATCTCAAAGTGGCTTAAAGTCTCAGTTGAAAAAGCAAAAGAAGCCAGACAGAGGCCCAGTGGGAGCCCTTTGTATAACTCCAGCCTAGACTGGTGGTTTCAAAGCCACAGACAAGACGCCTTTTTCTTGATTTCATACATTTTCATTGGGTGCCAATTTGTAGTATGAATAATAAAAAAGCAGAGGCAGATATTGGGTTTTCAGCTGAAGATCAGAGAAGCAAAGCAGTCAGCCACTCGCTCTTACCACTACCTCAAACTGGGAATATTTTTTTTCTCCAGGAATCTCCAGCATAGCTAGAGAATAATTGCCCTTGACTGAATATCGAATGCTAACCCTCAGACACTGCTCCTGTCTTATATATCTCTCTAGTGCTGGGATTAAAGTTATGGAATTCCAAGTGCTGAGATTTCCTTTGTGCAAGCTGTTTCTCTTTTAGACTGATTCTCTTGTATAGCTCATGGCTGCCTTGAACTCAGAGAGATGCATCTGCCTCTGTCTCATGAGTCCTGGGATTAAGGGTGTGTGCCACTACTGCCTGGAATCTATGGCTAACTAGTGTGGCTGATGGGATTAAAGGTATGTAACACCAGTGCCTAGACTCTATGGTTGTAGCTAGCTTTGAATTCTGATCTCCAGGAATGATTTACTCGATTTCATCACAGAAAAGGTATTTGTAAATCAGGTGATACAGGGATGATGGTGAGACCAGAAAGATTGCAATGGAGTACTCCAAAGAGAGTGAAAATTATCCTCCTGGGTTCAGGTCTATAGCGTTGTTAAGGGAAGGAGAAGGATCTAAAAGGTGAAGGAATAAGTGTTACTAAAAATATTATAAAGGTATATAATTGTCAAAAATAAATTAATGTAAATAAAATCAGCCCGAAATTATAGATGAAAGCAGAGACATCAGAACAGATACTGAGCAAATCCATAGAATCATAATGACTTTAAAATAACATATTTTTAAAAAATGTGTACTCCACCAAACTGAAAATCTAAAACAAATTTTAATTTCTTGGTATATACAACCATCCAAGGCTAAGACAAGATCAGATAAGTAATTTAAACAGACCCATAACTCTTAGTGAAATAGCATATGTAATCTCTCAATCCTGCCTCTATAAAACATCCTAGGGTCAGATAGAATCAGCATAGAATTTTACCAAACTTCAAAGTAGATTTAATGCCATATTTCTCAAATTATTTCACAAAATAGAAACAGAAGGAACACAACCCAATTCTTTTTACAAGACCATAATTACCCTGATACCCAAACCACAGAAAGTTCCAACAAAGAAAGAAAATTACAGACCAATTTCCTTTATACCTAGATACAAAAATTCTCAATAAAATTACAAGCCAAATAAATAAAACACATAAAAATCATCCACCATAACCAAGTAGTCTTTCTTAAAGGGATGCATGGATAGTTTGACATATTGAGGTCAGTAAATGTAATCTACCATATAAACAGGCTGAGAGGCAAAATCCACAAAAAGCATCTTATTGGATGCAGAAAAAGCTTTTGACAAAATTCAATACCCTTTATAATAAAAGCCCCAGAAAGACAGGAATATAGTGATATACCTCAACTTATAAAGGCAATTTCTTGCAAGGCCCCAGCCAACATCAACTGAATTGAAAAAAATCAAATAAAAGCATTTCCACTAAAGTCAGGAGCAAGACAATGATGTCCCCTCTCTCCATACCTATTCAGTATAGAACTTGAAGCTTTAGCTACAGCAACAAGACAACTGAAGGAAATTAAGGGGATACAAGTAGTATAGAAAGAAATAAAAGTATATTTATTTGCAGATGATAAGATTGCATATATAAATGATTCTAAAAACTCCATCAGGGACTTTTTGTGGTAAATAAATACTTCCAAAAATGTAATAATGTAAAATTAACTCACAAAAATAAGTAGTCTTCCTATATATAAATGAAGAATAGTTTGTGGAAAAATATCAGGGAAATGCTGCCTTTCACAGTAGTCTCAAAAAAATTAAAACATCTTGGAGTAAGTATAACCAAGCAAATGAAAGACTTTTGTGATCAAAGGCTTTAAGACATTAAAGAAGATATCAGAAGATGCTCATGAATCAGTTGAATTAGAACAGTAAAAATGTCAACCCCACCAAAATCAATTTATGGATTCAATGCAATACTTATCAAAATTCCAACACAGTTCTTCATAGAAGTTGAAATGATAATTTTCAGCTTCATATGAAAACATAAGATAGTTATGATAGCTAAAACAATCCTAGTCAATAAAAGGACTGCTATAAGTATCACAACCCCAATCTCAAATTGAATGACAAAGCTATAGTGATAAAAACTGCATAATATTGGCACAAAACATATATGCTGGTCAATGGAGTCAAATTGAAGACCCAGACATAAATCCACACACCTGTAGCAATCTGACTTTTGATAAAGAAGACAGCAATATGCACTGGAAAAGGACAGTGTCTTCAGCAATGGTGCTGGTCAAACTGGTTTGCTGCACATAGAAGAATTCAAATAGATCCATATTTTTCACCCTGCAAAAACTCAACTCCAGATGGATCAAGGACTGCCACATAATGCCAGATACCCTGAATTTGATAGAAGAGAAAGTGGGGAATAGGCTTGAACTTACTGGTGCAGGAAGAGATGTTCTGAACAAGACACCATTAGCATAGACACTAAGAACAGCAACTAATAAATGTGACCTCATGAAACTGAAAGGGTTCTGTAGGGCTAAGGACATCATTTGGACAGTTTATCAGGTTGAAGAATTTCCCATTCTTCAACCAAATAAATGTCCAATGGAGGACTAGTATTTAAACTATATAAAGAATTAAAAGCTCTGCTCATCAAGAAAGAACCCCACTTAATATGGGGTATATAACTAAAAAGGGGGTTCTCAAAGGATGAAACACAAATGGCTGAGAAAACTTCAAGAAATATTCCGGTTTAGTCATCAGGGAAATGCAAATCAAAACTACTTTGAGATTCCATCTTGTATCTGTTGGAATGGATAAAGCCAATAAAGCAAATGTCAGCTTATGCTGGTGAGGGAATGGGAAAAGAGGAACACTTATGCATTGATAGTGGAAGTAAAAACATGAATAGCCACTATGGAAATCTGTGTGGCACTTTCTTAGAAGCTGGACATTTATCTACCTCAAGATTGAGATAAATAACTCGAGCATATACCTGAAGACTCTACATCCTACTACAGAGATCCTTGCTCAATCATTTTCAGTACTTCTCTTTTATAATAGCCAGCAGATGAATGGATAATGAAATGTATTTTATTTTTATACTGCAATATTATTCAGTTCTAAAACTAAAATCATGAAATTTGTAGGCAAATTGATGCAGCTAGAAACAAATTGTCCTGAATGAATTAACTCAGATATTGGATGTATTCTCTTATATGTGGAAGTTAGTTTTTAAGTTTTGAATCAGCATGCTACAATCTGTTTAACCATAGAGATTAGATTGGAGTAAGGAACTACGGGGAAGTAGAGGATATCTCAATGGAGAGGAAATACATTATATTGTTACAGAGTGACAATGGAGAGACTGGGACAAGGGGATGAAATGGCAAGGAGGAAGGACAAGTGGGTTAAGAGAGGGAATACTGGGAGGAACAATTAACACTTGAGGGGTCAGTAGAAAGCCACTATTATAGAAGATTCTTAAAATTTACACATATATGAAAGAAATATAGATGGAGTTACCAAATAACAAAGTAGACAACACACAAACTAGACATCTTTTACCACCAACTAAAAAGTTCAGTGCTAGAAATAGGCCAAATGGGCTCACAAAGTTATGTAAGAAGCTATCACCTACATATCTCATTCAACACAAAGAAGTTGAATTGTTGCATAACTAGAGTTCTTTCCCCTGTTGACTATATTTCACATCATTCAGTGTGTTAGAAAACACTGTGTGTCCCTCTGTTTGTAGAAAATTTGTTAAGCATATTAGTGATTAAATAAACATCAAAATTATCTGGTTTATATATCATAAATAACACTGGAGTCTCTTTCAAACCCTTTGAAATAAAAGAAGTTTCAAATGTACTTATAGCATGGCATCCCAAATCACTAGTAAAAAAATATATATTACCACAAGTGAAGTCTCTTTTATGAGAGCATCCATGAATCTCACTTTCCAGGGTTCTTCAATGTTCTCTGGAACAGGTGAATAAACACAATAAGCAAATAGAACACAAGAGAATCCAAAGCACAGAGTTTTGTACCCCATGATAAACCTTTACCAGACTTAAGTGTGGTGATAGTCAACAGCATCTCATATATAGACTACAGAGCAGTAAGGCAAAGGTTGGTGAATTGTGTGAGGTAAAATAATGCTTATAGCAGCCGTGACTTGACAGTCACTTCTCTGACCAAGTCACAGTTGAAACTTGTTATGCAACTGCACATCTTTGTGGAACAGAATTTATTACAAACTGTCTGATAAAGTGTTCAGCAACGGCAAAAGTGTATGAGAGCAGTGAGCTCCTCTTCCACCGCATAGCACCAGAAGATCAGAAGCACTTAGGACCCTAATTAGACCATACCCCTTCCCCCCCCCAAAAGAATCAAGGGATTCCTTTGTTCTCTTGCCATTTTGCAAAGAGCAATAATAAGAGTTTAAAAACAAGTCAGAATGTTAAGTAACATTTCATCAACCTTGAGGCTAACACCTACACCAGAAATAATCAAGACCCAGCTATATCAATCTTGGGCACATACCCAAAAGATACCCAATCACACCACAAGGACACTTGCTCAACTATCTTTATAGCAGTGTTATTTGTAATAGCCAGACCTGGAAACACTCTAGATGCAGCATAAAAATCTCATAGAAAAATATACAACAGACTCACAGCTGCCAACAAAACAAAGCCAAAGCCCTTGCAGTAAGCAGGATTGCAAGGTGGCTCTACAACTCTACAAGATTCCCAGTCGCTGGGAGATAACATAGTCTAGTCAAACAATAAGGACTTTTCAGACAAAGTGACTAGATAGGTTAGCCTAACCAGTCACATGATCCCTAAAACCAAGGAGTTTTTTCCACTTAGACACAAGAGACAATCCCGAGACAGGGAAAATGGGAGGTCATGTGAGAAGCTCTCAATTGTCCCTTGAAGTACAGAGGGTCACATGGCAGCCTTTAAAGGAGAGAGTGGTTCCCAACCAAATAACTGAAATAAACAAAACAAAGCTAAAGGGGCACAGCTCAAATCCCAGCAACAGGGAGTTCAAAGGAAGAATCCTGAGTTCACATGAACCTGGGCAGCCAGTTCCTGGGCAGTCTGACTTTTCCCAAAACATAAATGAGGCAAGGAGAAAGGAAGGGGCGGAGGGTGATGGAGGAGAGGAGTGGTAGTAAAGAGGAAGAGGGATGAGGGGGAGGGGGAAGGGAAGAAGGAAATAGGGAGGAGAGGGAAATAGTAAAAGTCCTTAGACAGCATGATACCTCAGTTCTACAGCTATAGGAAACTACAGTATAACATCCACAGATCTGCACCTACCAGTCCACTTCTGCTAGTTGGTTTTTACTCCCCATCAGTTCCTGGCTTTGGCTGCTACCACCAATACTGGAATAATGTTCTTGGGGATTCCAGCATTTTAAGGCTGAAGCTGCAGGGCTCTGATTTTTCAACTGTGGTTAGGAGGGCATTCCAGCTACTGATGTAAATCTCTGAACCCTGCCAGGAATTTTCACCCCATTTCCCTTGCCACCCAATTATAAACAAAGTGAAGTGGGTACCAGGCTGTTAGAGGACAGACAGTCCTTTCAATACCAAGCAAAATCAGATGAGGGTGGGGTAGGAAGTCAGATCTCCCACCTCTCTGTCTTTTTTCTAATTATAATTTTGAGATGTTTGTCTATAATCAGGGGGATGTAGACACTTGGATTTATTTTCAAGGCTTCTAATATTTTGAATACCTTTATCTGCATGTCTGTTTTTAGGTCTGTATCATGTTCATTTCATTCCTCTGGCTCTGACATGGGGATTCATCAAGGAGTATTCATTTTCCTAGTATTGATTTAGCTATGCACGATCTTTTGTGCTTCCTAAGAACTTAAGACTTTTAAAAAATCTATTTTAGTGAAGAATGACACTGCAATGTGTCTATAGTAGGTTTTTGTATAATGGACATTTTCTCATTACTAATTATTGGTATCCAAAGCTATGTTTAGTTTTTCTTTAGTTTCTCAGTTTTTTAAAGTTTTAATCTTTTCATTGTAAAAGTCCCTTACTTCCACTGTTAAATGAATCACAATGTATTTGTTTTCTCAAGGAATTGATGAGACTATTTCACTAATTTATTTCTTAAAATTATTGGTAGCTGTATAGAGGAAGGCTATTAATGATTGTATTTTAAGTTTGCCTCTTTCCATTTCATTGCATATACTTTTCAGTTCTCAATGTTTTCTGGCAGAGCATTAGGCTCACTTGCATGTCAAATTATGTCCCCAGCAAAGGAGGAGGCATTGACTTTTCATTACCATTCATATCCCTTTTGTTTATCTTCTCTGATTTCTCTAAAAAAAATACACAAATTGTGTACTCTTCTCATTTTTTCCCAAATCTCCTTTGTTATGTTGGAATATGTTTCTTCCCAGTTGAAGAATTTTATCTGAAGGCTGCTGTGTTTTGTCAAAATCTATTTTTATACCTATTAAGAAAAATCCTATGATTTTTCCCTTGAATTTATTTATATTATTTACAACATGTATTGGTTTATGTGTGTTAAATCATACCTTCACCTCTACAATGAAGCCCGTTTGGTGAGTGAACATTTTCATGTATTCTTGAATTTGGTTTACAAGTATTTTGTAAATATTTAATCATGGATATCAGTTTTTCATTTTCTTTATTTTCATGGAATTTGTAACTGTAGCATACTGGTATCATGAAAATACCAGTATGCTACTTAGTTTTTTTCAGCTTGGCACAATCAAGAGCAACCTTGGAAGAGGAAACCTAAATTGAGGAATTGATTCCATAACATTAGCCTGTGTCACTGTCTGTGAGAGATTATCTTAATTGATGATTGGTGGAGGGGCAGACTACTGTGGGCCATGATATCCCCAGTCAGGTAGTCCTGAGTTATATAAGAAAGCAAGATGAGAAAATCATGGAAAGCAATCCAGTAATCAGCATTCCTCCATGGTCTCATTCAGTTCCAGCCTCCAGGTTCCTGTCTAGAATGCTTGGTCTGACTTTCCTCAATGATAACACACACACACACACACACACACACACACACACACACACACACACACACACACACACACACACATATGCACAAACACAAACAGAGCATGTGCACAAACACACAGGTAGGTTGTTTTGGGTTAAGTTTTTTTTTTTCCCACAGCAATAGGAAGCAAACCAGGACAGAAATTGATAGCTGCAGTGGGATATTGCTGTAGTGTTATTTGGGAGAATAGTTTTGGTTAGTTTTGGAGCTATGGGCTAAGATATACCTTTGGTTGCTCAGGGATTAATAATCTGCTATGTCTGCTTGGGAAATATGAGTGTTGAGGGAGGTCCAAATGAAGGAGGCCTAACTTGTGAAGTTTCTGAGCTAAGCAAATAATATACCAGAGTCAATTATGCGATATTTTGATTAGCAATCTGTGTAAGTAAAAGTCTTCCTTTATTATAAAATTGCTACTAAATATCTGGGGTAGAAAGTAATTAGCTGTGTTTAATAAGAGACCAGCATCATTTGATGAAATCTGGGAGTCAGCAAACAGTGAGGAGTGTAGAGTGTACTTCAAGCTGCCAACAGAACTTGCCAAATGGAGCACTGTACAGAAGTCTCTCACATGGTACCTTTTGAATGCATGGTGCAGGAGGGGTCAAGGAGATCTGCTGAAGCTCAGCACTGTGTGGCAGAGCCTCCCTGCAGAGGCTATAGGTGAGGATGAAGCCTCAGTTGCCATGGAGACCACAGGATACTGGGGATGCCAGGTTCAAAAACTGGTTGGTTATCCATATAACAAACATTCTACTATTGCACCAGGATGCACATCTTGCTAGATAAGTGACTACTGTAGCTTGCAAGTTTTTTTCCTGTAGTGTATATGGAACCGTGAGGGACGGTGAAATCTAGCTAGCAGGGCCAATGCTTCTAGGTCAGTACTAGCCTCATTTCTTCATGTCTGTGACTCAAACATCTTCAGCAATAGAGTCTCACCATCAAGTTCTGGGGGGTACATGAGCAGTTGCAATAGCCTTTAAGGTTTGGTGGTGGATGCACTGGCTATCAACGTGGACAGTCCTCCCCTACTTGGCACTGGTTCTTTTCATTCACAGATGATGGTGTCTGGAAGAAGCATTGTTCCCCTGACACAGGACAATTGCTTTTTAAATTATCTTTTAAAATTTAAATTCTTTTCAGAATTTGTATTTATTTTAGGAGGCATCTAAAATAGTAGATTTCTATAAGGTTTTTGAGAGGTTTTACTTGTTATCGCTCCTCATACCCCCTCCTCATCCTGCCCTTCCATCCTTCACCCTATAAAGCCTTCCTATTCCATTATTCCTTCCCCCCTTCACAACATCTGTTTTCTTTAATTCTCCCATAGCCATGCCAGTTTTCTGATTTCTGTGTGTACACCAGCTCACACACATTTATCTAAAGATTCAAGAATAACATGCACATGTGAGGGAGAACATGCAGAAGTTGTCACCTCATTCATAACCATTATTTTCCGATCCATCCATTTTCTTGTGAATTTCATAATTTTATTTTCCCTTAAATGGAATGATATTCCTTTGTATACATTTCGTTATCCACTTGTCAATTAATCCTTTTCTAGGCTGTTTCCGTTTCTGTTGTATTGAGAGTAGAGCAGTAATGAAAATGGGTGAGCAAGTATATTTCGGGAAGGATATAGAATCCTTTGGAAATATGTATAGGAGTAGAATAGATGGATCATATGGTAGATAAATTTTTAGAATTTTGAGGAAAAACTTCATACTGAAATCCATGGTGCTTATACTAGCTGGCACTTGCTCCAACAGTGAATAAGTATTTTCTTTTCTCCATTCCAATGCTAGCATTTCTTTTGGTTTGTTTTGCTGATCTTAGCTATTCTTACTGGGGTAATGTGAAATCTCAAAGTATTTCTTAATTTGAATATTCCTCACAGACAAGGATGTTGAAAAAAAGTTCCATCCATTTGTATTTTTTCTCTTGAGAACTTTATTTAGTTACAGGCCCAAGTGTTAAGTGGGT